TCGCTCCTGGCACCGCTCCGTATAGATCTAACGGTGCTGCGTAGCGGCCCCTGCTGCTGCCCCGCACCCCATCCCAGGGGAGTTCTCAGCCTTCACCCCCCGTGCCCCTCCTTGTCTACACACCTCTTAGCTGCCCATCAGGGACCCGGTGCTGCTGACTTCTCTCTCCCCCCCTCCTCCCCCCACAGCGAAATGGCCAAAAAACTGCCCTGTAATTAGGGCGGGGAGGGTGTCAGCTAAACCGGACCCTGAGCTGAAAAGGGCCCTCATAACACCTGTTATGAATGGGATGGAAGACTCCCAGCGAATATGCTGTACTGGGCCCCAAATTTCTCAAGACAGGCCTTTCTGTGACCCAAGTCTCTCAATCCTTATTGGGCTCTTTTCCAAGTCATGGATCAGAAATGGGTTGAAAACAACGGATCTCATACTTGTACTCTTCTTGAGTACGTTTTACAATAGATAGGCACAGATCAGACAGGGCTTTGTTTTTTAACCTTTAATTCAAAAGCCCACCATGTAGAAACTGAGTCTTATGTAGTTCATTACTTCAAAAGGTTGAAGGGCGTAGGTTCATGCTGTTACTATTTATTAAGCTGCCTCACTTTAAATATTTGTGAATAGATACCCTATCTCACCAAGTATCTCACTACCTTTTTTAAAACTAGTATCTCCAAATCTTTCAGTTATTTTTATTGACTATTTCTGGTTCCTCTTTAAGTTCATTATCCTGCGAACATTTAAGCACATGAGTAACATTATGCCCATAAATGGACTACTTGAGCATGTTTGCAGATTCTGGGCCTTACCATCAAAGCAAAATAATTTGTAAAGTGCCCATGATGCTGCATTTACATTACAATGAAAATGTAAGCAAAGTAGGAGGTGAAAACAAGGCAACCTTCTAAAAAAGATAAGATTCTATTGCTGATACAGTCTTTTAAAATCAACAGAGACCCTCTGCCTGCAAAAACTTATGCGTATACGTAACTTTACTCACCTGGGTTGTTCCATTGATTTTTGTAAGACTGGGAGTGGGTGGTGTCACAGTTTTAACTTTTGTTTTAAAACCAAATTTGAATTTCTTAAACTATATTGAGCTCTTTAGGCCTTCTTAAGAGATATTACGGACATTGTTCATTTAGGTTAATATTATTTGAGTGGCAATAAATATTCTTTTTGTATTCCTTCTGAAAACAATTTCAAATTAATATGCAGTTATTTTCTACAGATTTTTTTTATCTTCACTTTTTAAATAAGGTCCGTTATAAAGTGCATTTCTGTCTGTTATCTTTAGGTACTTATATGGCTCTTATTACTTCACAATCTTTAATGTACTTATCCTCACAACTCCCCTGGGAGGTAGGGAATAATCATTTTGCAGATGGGGAACTGAGACTAGATGCCAGATTTTTAGGCACCTAAAGATGCAGAAGTGGGTTTTAGCCCATGAAAGCTTATACCTAAATAAATTTGTTAGTCTCTAAGGTGCCACAAGTACTCCTCGTTGTTTTTGCAGATTTTTAGTGGTATTTAGGTACCTAGTGGGACTTACAAAGGTTCCTAGGTGTCTAACTCCCATTGAGTGCCTGACTCCCTAAGAGATTTTGAAAATCCCACTAGGTACCTATCTGCATCTTTAGGTGCTGAAATATCTGGCCCTGAGTGATTTGTCCAAGGTCACTCAGGGACATCTGTGGTGAAACAGGGAATAGAACTGCATTCTTTTGAGCCTCAGGCTACTGCCTGAACCACTGCACCATTCTTTCTTTCCACTTAATAATTTGCTGCATTATTTTTCAGAATGCCCGTTCCAGTACTTAATTGAAACATTAAATGACAATCCAGAGAAGAAGTTCTACAATATCCCTAAACTTGGGGGCACCAAGTATGGTAATACTACTTTTTAATAGCTTTTTAGTAGTATGGTTCCACTAGTAAATATGCACCAGTTATGTGATGCAGGAGGAGTGACTACATTGTCTTTAGTAGGTTTGTATGAAAACGTGTAATTTTACCCTAAACATGCTGTTTTATTAAGTTGATTAATAACTTGCTTTAAGTGAGATAAAAGGAATGATGCTTAACCAAACTTTTCTACTAAGGGAAAAGTGAGGGATACTTTTACAGGCATAATAGTTAATGTAGTAATAAACATTTCCACTACAGAAAATCACCACTTCTGTTATGGAATTAACAAGCGGTGACAAAAACATAAACTCTGTGTTACCTCACATGTAAATAAATGTTTTTACTGAAATGAATTCATGGTGGTCACATAAATGCAGAAAAATTATGCATCATTGACTCATTTACTCTAGTGACAATCTCATATTTCTTTGAGGGTTTCCTTGTGTCACAGTTTAGCGCCAAAAGCATCTGTATTTCCATGCATGGTCCAACAAGGGTACCTGCTGTCAGGTTTCTGGCTCCCTCGCTGTTGTCTTTCCTGGGTGGAGACCTCCTGACTGGGTATTTCCTGCCTGAAAAGTTCCTTGATTATACTGTGTATTCACCATCAAAGTCAGACTCCCTGCTTTGCCTTTTTTCTCAGAGATGATTAACAGTGCGGTTTCCACAGTCATAAGTTACCAAACAGCACTTCCTATACAAGAATATTTATTCTTTGGGTATAAACATTACAGAGAAAACATTAAAGAAATAAAAGAACCTACATGCATGCTAATAAGCTTACCAGAGATCAGCCCAGCTGTCTTTAGTATGGGCTCTGGCAAATGAGTCCTTCAGCACCCCTCCAAAGAGGTTTCTTTTGTGGTCACAAGTTCATAACAGCCTTAGCTCAAAACTAGTGCACACATGAAAAATTTAGGCCCTCTTTATTCAGTTTGGAGGTCTTTGAACTGAAGTTTTCAGGAGCAGGTAATCAGTAGACAATTGGTTTCTCTCCCTAGGGCTTAGCTTCAAAAGGATGGATTCATAGTGGGTCATTTGCATTCCTCTGACCCCCAAGTATTTCGTAGGAAATTCACTTCACATGTATTGTTCCAAAAAGTCCTTTGAAGTTCCTAATATCTCCCAGAGATTGCACTAATCCTTCCACCTCCTAAAGAATTTTCATACAATTCCACGAGAGTGCACAAACAGCATTTTCAATACAGTGGGTCCCAAAGGTATTAAATGTAGTTCAGTCAGGTTTAATTCCATAAGATTTGTCCATGATATTGCAGAATACTATCGTAAGTGTCACATCTTGATTTTAATTTTTTGGGTGAACTTGGTGTTCATGAAAATGATGAAACTAGCTAGAGCCAGACAGACCTTATGAAAGTTTTCTCATAGAGTTCTTCAAATACACCTTTGTCCTGACATGCAGTTGACTTCTCTCCAGCAATGGCTCACAAGGCTGTTCATCTAATAAGTAGAAAACTACACATACATCACTCTGGTTTCATGCATTTTGTGGAGTGAACTTTGTCAGGGGAGTGGGCTTAGTCCAAATAGTCTTGGTTGCTGATGACTTTCCTAAAGCCCAGTTCTGTTCAGTAGGACTACTGCTGTTAGCCTTATCTCTTTTGCACTGTTTCTTGCTATCCCATATCTCTCCTCTTCAGCAATTCCAAAAAAACCTCTAGTTCGAATGGCAGCAAAGATGTGAAGATAAACATAAGTGTGAACGGCAGACAGACAGCTCCTCTGTCTCTACTCATAGCTTTTTCAAGCAGCATCAGTAGAGTAGAATTAAGAAAACCAGTCAGTTTCACCTGTGCTTTTCAGAACCTTAAGGACAGCAGTGTAATTGAACAGAATTATTTCACTTTCTGTCTGAATGCTTTGGAAAGCTATGAGGAGCAGCAGAAATCACTGGAGCAATTTAGGGCAAAGGACTGTGTAAATGGAGACTGTGGAGGAGTAGACTAATAGTCTTGCATCTGAAGAAGTGAGGTTCTTACCCACGAAAGCTTATGCTCCCAGTACTTCTGTTAGTCTCAAAGGTGCCACAGGACCCTCTGTTGCTTTAGACTAATAGTGACTCTCTCCAACAGTCAGAGTGCTGAGTTGTGAGAGGGAGAAAACCCTCTCTTCCAGCAAATATAGGTACCTTCAAAGTTATCAAACACGCATTAAAATAGCCAGAGACTGTTATGAAAGAGAGAATTCCAAAGCCGAGCCCCGAGACAGCATTCTGGTAGAAATCCTAGCACCTGCATCTTACCGGGTCATCCATCCTGGATCTCCTTTGTGACTCCTCTGTCCTGCAGTTTAAAAGTTCAATTGATTTCTTTGGTTCCAAATTGCTATAGAGAGTCTGATTGCCTTAATATTTAAAGTGGGAGCAGAGGTATTCCGTTATGAAAAAAATTGTAGCTAGGTGACTGAGACACCTTTTCTGGACAGCTCTTGAATGAACACACACTCTCTCTGTGTGTGTATATATACACATCTCTCCTAGAATATCAAGGTTGGAAGAGACCTCAGGAAGTCATCCAGTCCAACCCCCTGCTCAAAGCAGAACCAATCCCCAGACAGATTTTTGCCCCAGATCCCTAAGTGGTCCCTCTCAAGGATTGAGCTCATAACCCTGGGTTTAGCAGGCTAATGCTGAAACCACTGAGCTATCCCTCCCCCACTTCCAATATGGTAGTGTATTGGAATGCCTTTATTCTTCATTAAAGGGACGAACACAACTGACAGGGATATAAGATCATTTTGTTCTGGTAATTTGAATATTAAACACACTTAGTGCTGACATTACACCACATTTATTTTTATCAGATTTCTGTACAATTTGCTTTTTATATGAATCATCTAATTAGAGAATTACAGTGACTGCCTTGTAAAATGTATCTAATGTAACATAAGCCACTAAACCCTGAAGCAATAGTTTATAGGCAGACAAAGTCCATGGACTTGGTTGAAACTGCCAAACTCATCTGTTTGTTAACATTCAGATCTGAGCTTTGGTCTCTAGAGCTCAAACACTAGTACGTGAACCTGTTTGACCAGTTACCTAGCATCCTTTATATTTACTCCTATTACTGTACTCTCATTTGATCACCTGAATTATTGCTGAATGGAGTGATGTTTGTGAGCGAATGATCATACCTAAGAGCTCCTTTACTGCCTTTACTCCCTTTCTTTTTTTTAATCTGTCTCCACCCCTGTGTTTTCTCTTCCTTGAAAGCATCTCCCAATTTTTACTTTACTGTTACTTTATAGTAATCAGTTTAGGTCCAGTTTTCTCCTACTTTTAGAGCCCACACTGAGATTATTTCTTGTCTTACTGTCACCTTCTGTGAATGAAGGGGAAACTGCACATAGTGATCCATATTCTGGCATTAAAGTCAGTTCTGACTTGATATCACAAAGTAATTAAATGGTCAAGTTTAGGATTCCAAAAATTATCTGTATTAATAGTTAGCAGCATAGTCTCATTGTGTCATCTCTTCTGCTTTGTCGATGATACCAGCCTTGGCCCTCCCTACAGTCATTTCTCCTACCAGCCTCTCCATGCCTTCTTTCTTTCTTTCACCCTATATGTGGAGTATCATTGCTTCTTTGTTCAATCAAGCCATTATTCTCTTCCATTCAAATCTTCCTTGAAAACTCACCTCTTCTGTAGTGCCTACAATAAGTGACTCACTATTCAGTGTTTGTTTTATATATTTAAAACAAAATCCCCAACTCTCCCAGATGTGCACACTCCTAAACATACTGCTGTAGCCCTCATCCTAACTTGACTGTTTGTCACTCTTACACATTTTGGTCCATCTATAATAATGTCCTGACCCTGCAATGAGCTCTGTACGATTGGACCTATACACTTGGGTGGTATCCCATTGACTTCAGTGGGGCTCTGCCTTGATTCACATATTCAAAGCTCATTTTCGGATCAAGGCCATTTTTTTCATAAGCTTTTATACTAAGGACCAGGTCCTCCTCTCTTCCGTGAAACATTGTTGCACCCTTCTGAGTGCTATAGAATAATAATAGAGAACAAATGCACATTGATTGATTTAGTGTTTCCTTGTAACTGTATTGTATTCCTGTGCTCTTATGGGGTTGGAATGAATTTCACTGCCTGATTTGTCAAATCTCTTTAGTATAGTAAGGTGCTATTAGTTAAAACATATATAGGCTAAAAGTGTTTCCTTGATTAATTCATTTACTTTCCCGTAACCAGATATTCTGCCTTATTCCATACGGGTACTGTTGGAAGCTGCTGTCCGTAACTGTGATGGCTTCTTAGTAAAAAAGGAAGATGCTATGAATATTTTAGACTGGAAAACAAAACAGAACAATGTTGAAGTGCCCTTCTATCCTGCCAGAGTTCTTCTTCAAGACTTTACGTAAGTGAAATATTTTCTTTTTTTTATTACATTTTACTAACAAAGTTTTCAAAATCTGTCTTGGTTCACCTGCTCAGTGAAGTTACCGATCTTTTCTCAGGCCTGAAAACAAAATGAGGTGGAGTTTAAGCATTCCATTAGTGAATGGAAATTCATAGTTTTTGTTTTAGTGCCCTTTCAGTGATGCTCCTACATTGTAAATAAAGCCTCTGATCCTGTACTCTGATCCTGCAAGTTGGTACAAGAAGGCAGATGCCTGTGCCCACATGGAACTTTGCTGGGACTCCATGTGGGTGAAGGTTTCTGTCTGCATGGAGTAATTTGCAGAATAAGGGCCAAAGAACCAGCTTGGTGGCACTTTAACTGTAGCAGGATTGTGTGATGGTGCAATGAAATACTTAGAAATCTTACTTGTGATAACCTAAGGTCAAATCCTGCGTGTTTTACTGGTGCATGTAAGCCTACTGAAGTCATGGGACTACATACATGAATAAGAAAAGCAGGAATTGTCCGTTAGAATGTTACCTATGGATTATTAAGATTTGTTGATGTGAGATGGCTAAAAGGGTAATCCTTAAGCAGCTACAGAATATTAAACTAAGCACATTTAATTTTGCCAAGCTAGGTAGTCATTTATTTGTCAAGAAGTCATGCAGAATAGAGAAGAACTCTGTGTAAGCTCAAAAGCTCATCTCTCTGACAAACAGAAGCTGGTCCAATAAAAGATATTAGTTCACCCAACTTACCTCTCTAAGAAATAACCTAGTAATATAAAAATATATGGAAGTGATTTGTTAGTTAACAAATCAAATCATAAGATTTTCATAAAATTTCAGTTTATATCAGTATTCTTTTCCTTTCCTTTAGTTTTGTATGTTGTCCTTAAAGAGTGTTTTTTATCTGTAAAATGGGGATGACAGTACTTAACCACTTTTGTAATGTGCTTTTAGATCCTGAAATGAATACTGCTATAATATAAGTGAAAAACACAAATTGCAAAGTAGTATTAGAAAATATAGCATATGCATTGATTTGTGTAGCAAAGGGGTGGTGTACAGCTACCATACATCCAGCAGTGGCCATTATGCCAAGGTTTCCTCACAATTCAGGAGCATAACAAGACAAAAGGGCAAATACCAAATGTAATCAGTTGGCCAAGGAATTTGCATATTCCTATTTGACACAGTCTTGAAATGTGTTGGTGGTTATGCTTGGGGTTAGGATGGCGCACAGTTTTTATTTAGATATGTTTAAACAAACCAAGCACATGAATACTTACTATTCCTTAAAACATGTTAGACAAAGTAAAACAAGCATTTTGAGATGGTATTCAAATAGGCTGCTATGGAGGGTGAATTAAAAACAAGCTTCTACAGTTAGCTTTATTTTACAGAATTGTCAATGCATCATAATACATGTAAAGTGCTATTTCTTTGTTCTTCTTTGTTAGTGGAATTCCTGCAATGGTGGATTTTGCCGCCATGAGGGAAGCAGTGAAAAAGCTTGGAGGAGATCCTATGAAAGTCCATCCTGCCTGCCCAACTGATCTCACTGTTGACCATTCTTTGCAGATTGACTTCAGTAAATGGTATTTAATCTACAAAATCCAGTTCTGTTTAATGATTAAATTTCAGGGGGTGATCAGTGTTCTCAATTGTGCTTTGTTCACTGCTCCTTTGGTAGCATAGAGGTAGCCCATGCAATCATCATGGAATTAATATGTAATAATTCACGAATATCATATGTTCTATACATTTGATGTAAGGGGGTTTGCTATATGATTATAAAGCGAATTCAGTTGCATATATGTAGGAAAGAGGACAATAGTCTGAGAGAACCACTCATTTACCCACATTTGAGGAACAATATTAGACCCATTTGCTTCTAACCCCCTCTCAAACCCATATCATGCTCCATGGACCAGTTTGTTGGGTGGGTGGGGGATCACAGATTGTAGATGCATGGAAACCTAAGACAAAGGGCTTCTTGGGGGATAAAAGACATTCTCAAGCTGTGAGGACAGTAGTTGTCAGGAGCTGTTCAGGAGCAAAAGGCTGACAGCAGGGCCGGCTCCAGGCACCAGTCGACCAAGCATGTGCTTGGGGCGGCACCCTAGAAGGGGCAGCCAATGTTGGGGTGGCGGGGGGCGTTTGCAGTGGTTTTTTGTTGTTTTTTTTTTTGTTGTTGTTTCGGCCGGGCAACGCGGGGGTTGTTTCGGTGGCGCGGTGCGGCACGGTGCTGGGGGGAGGGGGCTGGCTTTGGTGGCGTGGCCCGGTGCTGGGGGGCATGGCGCTCGGGGGGGGGGCGGGGTTTGAATGGCCCGGCGCTCTGGGGGGGTGGGGGTTTGGGCGGCCTGGCGAGGCGCTCGGGGGGGGTTGGCGGCCTGGCGAGGCGCTCTGGGGGGGCGGGGTTTGCGCGGCCCGGCGAGGCGCTCGGGGGGTGGGGGTTTGTACGGCACGGCGCTCCGGGGGTTTGGCCAGCACGGCGCTGGGGGCGGGGTGAGGTGGGGGGAGTACAGCAGGGCAGCGCTCTTCTTTTTTGCCTGGGGCGGCAAAAAAGTTAGACCTGGCCCTGCTGACAGACACATCCCTAAGGAGGACATCTGAAGCCATTGGACCTTTTTAAGCTTCCAAGCGTTCGTTAAGTTCAAACAGTACTTTGTTTTAAGAACATAAGAACGGCCATACTGGGTCAGACCAATGGTCCATATGGCCCAGTATCCTGTCTTCTGGCAGTGGCCAATGCTAGGTGCTTCAGAGGGAATGAACAGAATAGACAAAGCCAACAGCACCAGGACCTGGAAGGAGGTGTGCTTTGCCTGTGTGGATGGAAAGGAGTTCTGCCTAGCACAGATCTGTGGCTTGCACATAGTAATCCATGCGGATGAACTTGAAGAGCTGATTAGCTATTACCAGGATCGCGGCTACTTTGAAGAACAAGTGATCCATCCCCTGTTTCCCATTCCCAGCTTCTGGCAAACAGAGGCTAGGGTTGCTTCAGAGCATGATTTTGCATCCCTGTCCATCCTGCTAATAGCCATTGATGACCTTATTCTCCATGAACTAGTTCGTTTTTGAACCCTGTTACAGTTTTGGCCTTCACAACATCCTATGGCAAAGAGTTTCACAGGTTGACACTGCGTTGTATGAAGAAATACTGTCTGATCCCTCAGAAAGCTGTCTGGTCCCTGTATTGACTGCGTGTCATACCTCCTGAAGGGCAGACTTACAGTTGCCAAGCCCAGTTGGACCTGCTGAAAAATCACATTGGTACGCCGGGCTGTAACCCAAGGCTGGTCTGAGATTGGCAGAATCGCAAAATCCCAGCCCAAGCAGGTAGAGGCACAAGACCTCATAGCTGAGGAGGTGCATGCAGAGAGACTAGAAAAGGGGTCAGAGGCACTGATGTCATGAGATTGTGTCTGGAAGTTTTGACAGCGTGGAAAAGAAAATCTTTAAATTACACTTACCTTTTGCCTCACTCATGTAACAGTATGTCTACACAGCAAAAGCTGTGCATGTGCTAGCCTACTCAAGCTAGCTTGAATCCAGCTAGCATGACTAACAATAGTGGGGAAGTATCAGAGGGGTAGCTGTGTTAGTCTGGATCTGTAAAAAGCAACAGAGAGTCCTGTGGCACCTTTAAAACTAACAGATGTATTGGAGCATAAGCTTTAGTGGGTGAATGCCCACTTCGTCGGATGCATGACGAAGTGGGGAAGACATCACTGTGAGGGGTAGCAAGCAGAATATGTACCATGGGGCCATGCCAGGCTTGTGCTACCTATGCAGAAGTCTATACTGCACTGTCTTCACTGCTTTTTGTTACTCTGCTAGATGGAGTGAAGCTAGCTTGGGTAAGCTAGCCCATGCACAGATTTTGCTGTGTAGACATACCCTATGTGATTACAGCTCCTTTTCTTCTTTCAAAGCATGTAGCCTCCCAAAGGGCATACTGACTGGTCTAAACTGTTAATAGTGATGTCAGTCTCTGGTGAATTGAAAAAGTTCAGAACTGCTGTGAAAGACAGTCTTGTGCATATTGGGTATTTGCGTGGCCCTTTGAAATACATACACAGCTCCAATTTTGGCAATAGTAATTTAGAAGAATGAAAAGCAAGAAAGTACAATAGAACCAAGTTAACCAAGCCTCTATTATCCAGCTCTCGGTACTAACCAAATCACCAGCCGCCCCAGGCTGACAGTGGCTGCGGCTCGGGCTGTCAGCCCCAGGTGGCTGGGACTCCTGCTGTCAGCCTGAGCCCCAGCTACCCCAGGGCTGACAGTCCGAGCCCTAGCCACCCATTCTCCAGTGTATCCGATCTGGCTGCAGTCCCAGTTAGATAATCAGGGTTCCACTGTATAGCTGTGAAATTAAGATTATTTTGTGATATTGCTTCTCCGGCAGTCCAGTTCTTTTTTTAACCCTTCCTTGTGTTTGACGGGAAAAGCCCAAATTGTGATTCGTTAAGGCTGCAATTATCAGAAAGGCCAGATGTTGGCAAGAGATCTCAACAAGTTGCTTTGTACTGATATAGCCAGTTCCGCTAGTTCACTGTTGGAAAGTCCACAGGAGTCTGTCAGCATCTGTCTGCTAAAGTGTGATATGAGGCCCTTCCCCAAGGTGCTGCATGTGCTGCGTCTGCATAGCTTCCAGTTGCCGCTAGCTGAGGGATTGTGAACTGAGCTTAGATTCCCACAAAATGGCCTTTGAGGTGGTATGGTATCCTGCCACTAGACAATGGAAATTTGTTCTTTTTATTTTAGAGCAGCAGAAACATTGATAGCTCTATTTATCAATGTGACAAATTATTGAATGTAACCATTAGAGGTAAAAAGCCAATCATCTTTCACAGTGGGTTTTTTCAGTGTGTTCATGTTAAGGTTGAATGTAGTGTAAATAGAGTGTAGTGTGGTAAACGTGTAGATGGTTTTAAAAATGTTTACCTACAGTGTTTTATGTATGTACTTATATTATTTTCTTGAGCCTGAAGTATAATAATTTTATATTTGTAGTAATAAAATGTGTTTATTGCTTGAGCCCTTATTTCCAAAACACAATTAAATATAAAATATCACAACTGCTGCCTTGAGTAAACTGTAGCAAGAGACAATTCCCCAGGGATCTAATAAATGTTGACAGTGCTGCAATAGAGAGTAAAACCAAACACAATCCCCAACCCTTCCCTGGGACAATACTTTCCTCACATCCCTTCCCTTCAGATCTTGAGTAAACAGTGCAAGGACAATCTGTGTCCTGTTAATAAATGTGTTTGGCAGACCAATCAGGTGAGTAAGTAGTTTATACGGCAGATAATACAGTTCCTTTTAGAGAAGCTAAAGGTCAGTACAATTTATTTTTGTGTGGTCACCATGCTGTATTCTTTGGTTAACGAAACTTACCCAGTGACACTTTACTTTGCACCAGGGTTGTAATAAAATGGTGACCTTTTAGATACAGTTGGTCATTTGTTGGGGATATTTTTTCAGTAGGAAAATGTTTTTATGCACTTGTTTCATTTTCTGTTTAAAATACAGTGCAATACAGAATGCTCCGAATCCTGGAGGTGGTGACTTACAGAGGCCATTGGTAAAGGTTTCTCCACAAAAAGTGCAGCCTCGGAAGGTACCTTGCAGGGGCCAGACTGGCTGCAAAGGGCCATGTGATGCTGGAGAATCAAGTCGTAACTCAGGAAAATTTTCTGCGCAGATTGAGAATACCCCTATCCTCTGTCCATTTCATCTTCAACCAGTGCCTGAGTATGAAATGCTGTTTTTGCTTAGCGTTTAATTGTCAAATCCTTCTTTTGCTGGAAGGAATTATGGTTGTGTTTTACTGACTGGAATGCAGGCCCTTTTTGTGTGCTGTCTCCTAGTTCAGCACTTCCTTTTAGTTTGCAGTGCTTTTGGTTTAACTTTAAGGTTGAGCAGAACAATTGTACCATGCTATCAGATAATGCAAGCTTGTGCCCAGAGCAACAGTACAGCTTTTAAAGTGTTGGCCTGCCTTGTGAAAGCCTGTTGGCTAATTACAGCTAGCTTTTTGGAGTTAATTGTAAAATTTAAATATTGCCTCCAAAACACAAAAAAATAAGCTGTCTGTCCTCCACAAAGCAGGCAGTGCGCCTTAAGCTGCACTGAAGGGGCCTCTTGGTTGTCATCCAGAATGCCTGCAACAGCTGACAGAGATGCTGCTCTATGCTAAATATGCCTTTCTGCATCTTTGTCCACTCCACCCAGAAACAGGCCTGAGCATTTAGGATGATGTCTAACACCACAGGTGTTTGAACTGACCTAAAACAGGAGAAGAACTTAGGTAAAGCATTCTGTAGAGGGTCATTTATCTGGTGGTTGATTGTCTTTTTGAATCTGAGCTGGAGACTTGCCTCATTTCCTTGTAAGGGCAGTGATACATACGAACAGTGCTCCATAAATTAGTTAATGTAATAAGGCACCGCTGAAACTTTGGTTTAAATCTGAAAGTCCCTATTGTTTTATATTTCATGTAAATGATTTACAGAAGGTTTAACTCCTTTCTTTCCTGATAAGAATTGGACATCCCCATACCAGCTAAGAAAGCAGTCTATATATCATACCCCAGGCCACAAATAACTTTTAATCCAGTGGTCCCCAACACGGTGCCTGCAGGTGCTGTGGCGCCCACCAGGGCATCTATGTGCGCCCGCCTACTGCGCCCCGCCGCCAAGGAGCGCAGCCGCCGGACAAACAGCCGCCAAAATGCCGCCGAGAAGCGGCAACGACAAGAAGCGTCACCGCCGAAATGCCGCTGCCTCTGCAGCGACGCCTCTTGATGACGCTGCTTGTCGGCGGCATTTCAGCGGTGACACTTCTTGGTGGCATTTCGGCGGCTGCTTGTCTGGCGCCCGCCCACACTGAAAGGTTGGGGACCGCTGCTCTAATCCATCTGTCACTGAGTTGAAATGCAGCATTACATCTTGGCTGTATGTGACACCCCACAAAGGCCTCATCTGCTTGCCTTTTCCCAAGATTCATTTATTTATAGGTCCTTTTGCAGCACTCCATCTATGACAATTACATGTAATAACCCTCATCTTTCAACTGCCACCTATCTTCTCTGATAGATTGGCTAGATCCGTCTTTCTGTGGCTGACATATCTAGAATTTCAATGCTATATCAAAGAGGAGACCCACATCAATACAGTATTTTGATTGTGTTGCAAATTTTATTTAAAAAAAATATTTTCATCCTCTTTTGCTTTTTCCAGACTGAAATAGAAATGTGATGAGAAAAGTTAAATGTTTTCTGCAATCTGGATGTTGCTGATCCCAGTACACCCTTTTCTACCGGCAGTGGCATTCATTAAGCTGCAATTTGAGTGATGACAATCCCTTAGACCTTTGTAAAACAATACACCATATGACCTTCCTCTATTGCAGAAGAGAAAGGGGGAAAGGTCCTGATGTAAAATGCAGCCCTAAAATATCATTTAGAGAAGGACTTTTATTACTCCCTTACATAAAAGCTCCCAGAGAAGCAGTAGCTATAAAAACACAATCCAGCAACGAATTTCACTCATTTAATAAAATGACGCTTTTCATTACAAACACATACGAAAGTTAGTCATCTGCATTTATGTTTAGACACTGTGGTGATGAGCACCTATATATAAGTAAATGAATACTGTTCCTGGAAGACATTTACAAATAAATTATACAGTATCTTATTGGTCTTCTAGTCAGCAGTTAGAGGACCAGAGTTGAAAATGAGCAATTCTCTTGCCAGCAATAATATAAATCAGACACCTTATTTCTTTCTCAACATCAAATTGCTTGAGGTAAGCAACTCCTACGAATATCAGTTAGAAGAAATACCTTCCTTATTTGACAGTGCAGTTATTGTAGTCCCTCACATGCTGGGAAGGTATCTTTTTCTGATGGGTGTTTTTTGAGGTTACTTGCTTCAGGCAAATTAGAGCTAAAAACTCTCATTTATGCTGTGTGTTATGAGAAGACCAGTCCTTTTCTCTGCTGTTTTCAGAGGGCATCTTCTCCTTTCCTCACTTCCTTGTTTGGAAGAAATTGCCTCAGTCTTGTCTAAAAGGATTTAAAAGAATTCTGCTATTTGCAGCAATGAATGAGCGGTCCAGCAAATAGAAGCAAAAAGCAAATCTCATTGTTTATCATTCAAAACATGCCATTATTTATCAATTAATTTTAATTAATTTCTAGGCCTGAAACAGTGTTAAAAAACCAAGAGGTGGAATTTGGCAGAAATAGAGAGAGGCTTCAGTTTTTTAAGGTATGCCATTTTTTTCTACAGCCCTCTTATTATATTTTTCATTTGATTTGATGTTTTGTCAATCTTTCAAATGGCCTTGGCAGTTCATGATGGTAGAGAGGGGGATTTATTATATCACTTTCAAAATTTCAGGTTTTCAAGTTAGAATTTTTGAGTGTATATTAGTACAGCTGGCTAGTGCATAACATGATACAATTTTTTGGAAGAATGCCCAAGTAATGACTCTTAGGCATTGTAGAGCCCTAATTAAGGTGTGTGTGGGTTTTTTAAAGGAGGAAGGGTACAAAATATTAATAGAAATAGTAAATAAGCTAATATTAACTGAAACACTGGATTTATTTGGATTTAAACTTTTCCCAAGTGTTTGTAACCCAAATATCAATAGTATGGTGTTCAAACCTGAGAACCGGAAGTGATGCTAACTGGAAACAAAAGTGAAACTGACCAGACACTAAGGACTTGATACTTTGAGGTGCAAAGCATCCTAAATTTCCATTGAAATGAAAGAGTGTTGAGAGCTCTCGGCACCTCAGAATTATCTGCTGCAGATTATCTGTCTGCGTCTCTACAGGTTAACTGCTTCATCAGTCCAAAAGTGTTTTCATCTAAAGTGTCATAGGAATTTTTGGTAGATAGACAATAGAGCCCATATACTTAAAAGTTGGTACTGTCTATTGAATCAACAATCATCAGCCTTAAGAGGATTGGAAAGAGGTGCCATATATGAGAGATTTTAAAGCCTAAATACAGCTGAGTTTCACACCAGCCTTATCCCTAGACAGAGCCCTGGTCCTGCAAATCTCTGTTTAAGCCAATGGTCCCATTTAAATAAGTGGGACTGCTTCTGAATGGGGTTTGGGTACAAGTCATTGCCACTCTGATAACCAGCTAGCAGTTGTGGTGGGGTTGCTTTACTGATGTAAGTCATTTCTCCCTTCCTCTGATTCAGTGTGTTTCTGTAGTGCTTGCTGCTAGCCTAGGAACTTGTGACCTGAACTCTGATCATTATAAGGCAGCATGCTATGCGGCTACTCAATCAACAGACAGGATACCTAACTATGTATGTTGCTGATTGGCATGGGCATTTTTCTTCTGTAATACCATTACATATAATTACAGTAAAAGCTATTTTATCTGGCACTTCACCAACTGGAAAGCTCTATAAACCGGCATTTCTGATCTTCATTGAAATTTTGGTTTATAGTCCGGTTGGCATGGGGCTGGTGCGCAGGAGGGGGTAAGGAGCGCGGGGTTTGGGGGAGGGAGTTTGGGTGCGGGAGGGGGTTCGGGCGTGTCAGATCTGGGGGGATGGTCACCGTGGGTGGCTCCCCCCCCAAGCGGCGACTTGTCCTGGCTACTTCTAGGTGAAGGTGCAGCAGGCAGCTCTGCACTCTGCTCCGCCCCGAGCGCTAGCTCCACAGTTCCTGGTGGCTAGGAACCGCAGCCAATGGGAACTGCTGGGCCGGCGCCTGCGGGCGGAGGCAGCGGGCAGAACTACCTGCTGTGCCTCCGCCTAGGAGTAGCCAGAACAAGTCGCTGCTTGGGGGGAGCCGCCCAAGGTGACCGCCCCCCGGATCCAGCACTCCAACCTGCTGCCCCAAGCCCCCTCCCGCACCCAAACTCCCTCCCTCTTAGTTAACACATATTTTTCCACTTACCGGCACCCCGCAGTCCCCTAACATGCTGGATAAAACAGCTTTTACTGTAATTTAACACATAACCAACCAACTAAGAAAGAAAGAAATTAACAATTAAAGTGCAGTTCTACTCTGAAAAGTAACTCTGAAAATTGGGTTTCCATGTTTGTGATCTGAGTTTACAAGTAAACAGGTGACATTGTAAACAAGAAGCAGGTAGCATTATTTCCTGCAAATGTAAACAAACTTGTTTGTCTTCACGATTGGCTGATCAAGAAGTAGGACTAAGGGGATTTGTAGGCTCTAAAGTTTTACATTGTTTTGTTTTTGAGTGCAGTTATGTAACAAAAAATTCTACATTTGTAAGTTGCACTTTCACGATAAAGAGATTGCACTACAGTACTTGTATGAGGTGAATTGAAAAATACTATTTCTTTAGTTTATCATTTTTAGAGTGCAAATATTTGTAGTAATAAATAATATAAAGTGAGCACTGTACACTTTGTATTCTGTGTTGTAATTGAAATCAGTATATTTGAAAATGTAGAAAACATCAAAAAATATTTAAATAAATGGTATTCTGTTATTGTTTAACAGCGCGATTAATCACGATTAATTTTTTTAATCGCTTGACAGTCCTATAAAAAGATGTTTTTCTAAGTGTCAGCTTTGCAATCTCAGCCAAGTTTGTGAGAATCAATCTGTATTTTTTCCAATCTCATAAAACAATCAGTACTGAAGGTTCTGCTGGCCAAGTATTACCCTTGGTTACACTTGTGCTTTCCAATTGTCTCAATTCAGTGACATCTGTGTGAGCCAATTGCTTTCATTACGTTTGTACATATAAGTGATTATGAATTTAGTAAATAATTTTGTTGATGACCAGGAAGGAATAGAATCCAAGTCATTCTCTCATAACTGTGATGGCTTTGCAGTACTAACAGGAGGAGTGAAAACCACAGCCAGGAATATCAGAAGATGTGTGTCTGTATAACCACAAAAAGAAGAACAGGAGTACTTGTGGCACCTTAGAGACTAACAAATTTAGTTTTACTCTAAGGTGCCACAAGTACTCCTGTTCTTCTTTTTGCGGATACAGACTAACACGGCTGTTACTCTGAAACCTGTATAACCACAGAAAGCAGATGTGTGGATTTTTACATAGTCACTTTTCAGAGTAGAACCATGTATAAATGCTGAAATTGCGTATTTCCCAACTTACTTGAACAGCCAATTGTATGTGAAGAGCAAGTACGATGATGTTCATTTTTTTTATTCTTTATTATGTGTTCTTTAAAGTTATGTGGCTTTATGTCACTAAACAGAGTTTAGTACACCTTCTTTACAAAGGCAAAACATCCTATTTGATTTAAATATAACAATAACCTTTTTTTTATTCTCTCTCAAAAAAATGTAGTGGGGTTCAAAGGTTTTTAGGAATGTTGCTGTAATTCCACCTGGAACAGGAATGGCACACCAAATGAACTTGGAATATTTGTCAAGAGTTGTTTTTGAAGTTAAAGATTTCCTATATCCCGACAGTGTAGTTGGCACAGATTCTCATACAACTATGGTAAATGGTTTGGGGATCTTGGGATGGGGTAAGTATTCTGTACATGACTTGATAATTTCAATTGCATTTGTAAGGTTTTTTTTTACTATCTAAATGGAAAATAATTACTATTTAATACTTTTTTCATATTGGATATTTCTCTGTTTCAAGCCTAACAGCATTTCAGAACTTGAAATTTTATTTAGGGGAAACATATTTTGAAGATAGAGTTTCATGACATACGAATAATGGACAAATTGTTTGCAGTTCTTCTAAAAGAAACTAGAAAGATTCCATATAGTAAGGCCAGTTTCATTCCCAGGATAATAGTGATTCACAACCTAAACGGTTGGGTTTTTAAGACATTTATATAATACATAGATGAGCGTTTTGATGTTGTCATTGGAAATCAGTCAAGAACTGTGTAATCCTGAGAAGGGATTTGAAGGAAATCATAATACTGCAAAGCTCTTGTTACTGTAGTTAGACGCACATTGGCATGGCAGTGTGGGGAAGCTTCCATGGCTATTGTCCATGCTGCATGTGTTCTCTGGATGAATAGAAAACTTCTATCCAACACCTTTCACCAGAAATAAATTGCTTTTTTTCTAATTTAAAGAAAAAAATTACAAGGAAATTAATTCAATGCTCAGATAAATACTGTTTTTTTTGAATGTGTAGTATGAAATTCAGATAAATATTAGTATAGTTGTTATATAAAATCAGTAGTAGATATGGTACACAAGGCCAGCAGGATTAAAATGTGATAATTTGAGCAGTAGTTTTGCAAGATTCTTTCATGTCCAATCTTTTTAGTAGAATACATTTGTATTGTACATATTGTCTTTCAGTTGGAGTCAGATACAAGTAAGGATGTGTTATTGTGCAGATTATTATAGCCTTTAACTTCATTAGACTTTAATATGCACTTCAAAATGTTTATTAGGTCAATTACTTAGCACAATAAAAACAGTTTAATATTCTCCCTCCAGGTGTTGGCGGTATTGAAATAGAAGCAGTAATGCTAGGAATGCCAGTTGCACTCACTTTGCCTGAGGTAGTTGGGTGTGAGCTGACAGGCTTAGCCAGCCCACTTGCTACATCCATAGATGTCGTTCTAAGCATTACTAAGGTAATTTAGAATTTTGTTTAATCCTAAATCAAGCAGACTTTGTTATTGTGGGAGTTCTACCAGAGGTGCTTGGAAAGTGAAATAAGACACTCGCAGTCTCTGATCCAGCATCATTAACTGTAGCTATATGAAACGGCAAGATCTCTATTAACCCCTAAGTGCGCATCTGCTCATTTAAGTCATATTTATTTTATTTTTACCAATGGTCCTTTAGAGGCCTTACATATAACTATGTATTTACAGACATTTTATAAATGTAACTAATGTCAGTGTTCCCTAGTGAGAGCACTTACGCAGTCTCTGCAGTGGAAAAACCCTCCTGTTTGACTCTTGGCTCCAAAGTGTTCCTGCAAAACCTTGCTCTCAACCTGGGTAAATCAGGAGTAACTTTTACTGAAGTCAGTAGTTACAGTAGTGTAACAGAAATGTAGTGAGAGGAGAATGCGGCCCTGTCTCTCTAGATCTCCACTCCTGGGCTTTGTGGCCTCTGGTAAATGGTATCAGAGTGATTCATGTCGGTATGGTGAACGCTTCCTTTTTGGTCAGATCCTTAGCAAGATTTAATCAGTTTCTATTTTTCAGTTTTTCACTGCACTTGGAGTTTTTTCCTTATAAAGCAGAAAGTGTAAGAGGGGGTAAATATCAATGAGTCCCTGCGCTCTAAGCCCAATGAACTAGTTACAGTGGATTACACCATCACGCAGAAAAGCCTTGTTAGATTTCTGTTCCCAGTTTCTTGTTTCCCAGGATACCCTAGCTGTGAATGCAGCATTCTTGGCTCCAAGAGATGAGGAGAGTGTAATGTTTCACACTGTTCACCAGCAGCTACGCTAGCCTAAGGAGGACAGGTGTTGGCATCCTGGAAGGATTAGTGAGGCAGTGTACAGTGCCTCAAAATGAATGGGGTTTTTTCCAGGGAAATTGGGGGACCATCAGGGATAAGGCAGCACTTAGGTTTCAGTGACTGCACCCAACAAACCAGTAGTGTCGCTTTGCTTAACTGTCTGTTCGTTCCAGTGTGGTGGTTTTATTTTCAAAAGTTGTTCCAGCAACATGTGTGCTGCTTAGATATTTGTTATTTGTCTTCTCATCCTGACCTCTACAAATATCTATTCCCTCAAGCAGTTATCCCATTCTTGTCATTGCCATCCACTGTTCTCTAAAATTTCACTGCCTTCACAGCCAGGATACCTTGGGGAACAAGAGAGGGGGAAATAGTGTCTAACTAGGCTTTCCTCATGACAGTACAAAGCACTGTCACTAGTTCACTGGGCTCAGAGTAGAGCTTTAAATTCCTTCCTTTGAATCTTTACCACCTTGACTACCAAATGAAAAGCCACATGTTGCCTTGTGAATTCCTGAATCCTCCTAGCAACAGTTTAAAAAGCATGGTACACTCACTGCTTGAAAGTCTGCAGAACTGAGTGGGTGGGGAGAGACATTTTGAGAGTTTTTACCTCTGTCAGAGTCCAGTCTAAGTGTTAAAGTTTTGAAGTTTGTGGACATGATTTAGGTATAAAGAAGTTTTTGTGCTGTATTTCATTTTGTGAAATTAGTAATTGTTACAAATTTCAAACTGTTGCACCAAACATTCCTTGTAGTATATCTTCTATTCCAGATGTTTTTATAGTTCTGTATTTCATTTTTAATAGCAACTCAGGCAAGCAGGAGTGGCTGGAAAATTTGTTGAGTTTTTTGGAACTGGCGTTTCTCAGCTGTCTGTAGCTGACCGAACCACAATAGCGAATATGTGTCCTGAATATGGTGCTATTCTGAGCTTTTTCCCTGTTGATAATGTGACGCTAAAGCACTTAAAGCATACAGGTAAGGATGAAATTAAGGTAAAAACACATGATTCAGCATATTAGCATTTTAAACTCACATGGCAAGTATTTTTATCTAAAATTGCATCATGCGTTACATTTGGACAGTATTTTTCTTCAGGATTATAACCTGCTTGATGGAGATAATGTAATGAGTTCTGCTGTGCAGTAACATTTTGTGTCATGGGGAGCTACTTTGCAGATCCCTCCCATGAATAGCCTCATGGACACAATGGAATTTTAAATTTAATAAAAATTATATTGCTTTAATGAATATCGACTACCTTTTTCTGTGGAAGTGGCCATTGGGTCTTGGAGCTTATTAGCATGTAAATTTCCTTATGGCACTACGTTTAATTACGGTTTTTCTAGTTAAGCTAGGAAATAATTTTTTAAAATAAATCTTGACAGATGGATAGCTGGCATGCCCCTGAAGCTTTTACCAAATCTGGTTATATTATGTCTGCTTTGATCAGTCTCATCATTGCCATCACTGTTCAGGGTCAACTTATTCTTGAGCATGCAGAGGTCTTCTTTGTCAAGACAGACCATTTTCCCGCCTCTCCATGAGTTATTCTATAAGGCCAGGTATGGCAACATGGTAAAGTGGTTCCTCTTGACAATTAATGAAATCTTCCTTTTATATTATGGGAAAAGATTTGTGAGCATATATTTAAAAGTGCTTTCTGCCAGGATGGGTTAAACATGATTTGCCTTGTCACTACGGACCTCACAAACCATTACTTCATCTAACCAGTGTTTGAAACAGTGTTAGAGAATTAGTTATATGTGATTCAGACCAACCAAGTAAACCATGTTTAATACATATAATCAAAATTGGTTTTAACCCATGTTTAAAATGGTTTATAACAATTTGAAAACAAGTTCACACAGTTTGGTGGCTGCTGGGAAACTCAGCCTGCCGAGAATGGTCTTTTGCAGGATTATTTTGGTGTGTCTCATCTTAATTGGTTTTTGAGTTATCTTCTGGTTTCTCCCTTTTCACCTCCTATGAAAGTGAAATTCAGTCACTCCTTTTGCCTAGTTTGGCTCAAAGGATCAAGAAGTTTCTGCTGACGCTCCCCAGAGACCAGGTCATAATGAGAAGGGTATCTGCTGAATGAATGTTCTTTTTCTGAGTTCCATCTTAGGCTGCAGTGAGGTGATCAGATAAAAATGAAAAGAGCTCCTAATTATGAACTAATAGTACATATGCTTTCAGCAAGCTATTCAGTTTGTGTAGCTTGTCAGTCCTTGTTTCAAAGATTGAAGTATTTCACTTTTAGATTTTGTCGGCTCAACAAGCTGCTAATAGAACAGAGGTAGAATGTATATTGAAGATTATATGGCAAGAAGACTGATATTCAGGGCAGTTATTAAAGTGCAAAGTCATAATTGTCATGCTCTTCAATAGTGCTTGATTCATGGAATCCATGGGGCGGCACACAGATTCTGTGTGAATTTGTCATAATATTTATTTCTGAGAACCCTAGTTACAAGTAAGTTATGCTACTGAAAAAAAGCATACCTTTTCCCATGTCTGGAAATATTTTCCATAGGTTTTGACAAGGCCAAGCTTGAGTCTATGGAAGCATATCTTAAAGCTGTGAAGTTATTTCGAAATGATCAGATTTCTTCAGAGGAACCTGAGTATACCCAGGTATTTATAAAATGACTTTTGCTTTTGCAACTATTTGTATTCATTATTCATAAATTATTTTTATTGTATTGTAATTGTTGCCATTTTTAATTGACATTTGTACGTGAATATCTCAACTCATAGCTTTGGATAGTTAGATACTTTACAAAAAAACCAACAACCTTAAGCACTATAATAAGTGTAGGAAAGGCTGATGAATTCCTTTAGTCAACCAGCTCTTTCAGGGTATCATATAAGTCTGACTTCATGAGAAATTTTGGCAGCTGGCGTCAAAGCACACAGATTGTTCACGATAAAGGGTTGTTAGTCATACTCCATCTTAAAAATGGAAGCCTCACTTTTCAATGGAAAAACATCACAGAATATTCAAATTACTAAACCGGATAGGCCCAGTTGCCTTGAAAAACTAGGGCTAAATGTGCTGTTACCTATTGGGCAATGTTTACTAGCATGTGTTACTGTTTTTTTTTTTCTTTTCCAGATAATACAAATAGATCTGAGTTCTATAACGCCATATGTCAGTGGGCCAAAGAGGCCACAGGATAGAGTGGCTATTACTAATATGAAGAGTGATTTCCAAGCTTGCTTAAATGAGAAGGTTTGTACAACTTTGCTTTTAGTGGTTTGGTAGATAGATTTATTGTAACTTATTTTTTGGCTTTCATACTGAACACAATAGCTTATAAAGTCATAGTCCGTAATCTGAAGCATTTATTTTACAAATATTCACTGCCTCAGTGAGTGTCCCTTGGGCATAGCTCTATGTGCTAACCATCATAGGAATGTTACTGGGCCTCAAACAGTAGAAAATTTGAATAAAAATTGCAAAAAGCCTCAATTCATATTATGGACGTAAGAATCTACTAAGTAGAAAAGTGAAAAAGTTAAGCAATCAGGTGTTCCAAACTTCTACAGTTTGTCCATTTAAGTCATTTTTAATTGCTAAATTGGTTAGGCATATGAGGGGATTTTTTGGGAATTTCTATTTTAAAGCAAAATTGGGGCACAAATTATTGTACAGTGCCATTTCTTATGAATGAGTTAAAAATCCTTCCAAATCAGCCTCATTGTTTGAAATTGAAACAATGATTCTCAGTGTTTTTGGGAGGTAAATTCAGTTTATTCCGGCTTAATATAACCGTTGATTTTAATCAATTGTTAAATTAACCAAAACTTGAAAAAAAGGAGAAAAAAAAAGAACGTGTCTTAGCAACCCTGAGCCTCCGATTTCCAGTGCTTTTGAATGGGAGCTGAATTTTCAATCCTAACATCTACTGTTAAGTTCAGGGATCAAGAAGGGCTGGTTACAGCACTGAGTCAGAAGTAGAATTGCAAGTAGCATAGAGTCGGATTCAAAGGCCATTGAAATCTCTGTCTACTGCTTCAGTGGGCTTTGGATAAGACCCCCACAGTGTGTAGCAATCAGCTGTGGTGGGCTTGCCTTATGTGGGAGAAAAATCAAAGACTCGATAGTGGAAAAAAAATAGATGATCGCAGGGAAGCTGTTTGAACTGACTGGGAATGGTGTGTCTGGGTGGGCCATGAAGACTTCTGGGAGATTAAATGTTACAGACCCAGGCCCGGTTTATCTTTAATCCTCTCCCAGTCAAACTTGGTTTGACAGCTTCCTGTCTGATTAACTCACCTTTATTATATTTCAGACCATTATAAAATAGTGCTGAAGAAATGTAATTAATTAGGTTTAGAGCAGGGGTGGGCAAATTTTTGGCCCCAGGGCCACATCGGGGAATAGAAATTGTATGGTGGGCCATGAATGCTCACAAAATTGGGGTTGGGGTGTGGGAGAGGGTGAGGGCTCGGGGGAGGGACTGGGGATGAGAGGTTTGAGGTGCAGGAGGGTGCTCCGGGCTGGGATTGAGGGGTTTGGAGAGTGGGAGGGGGATCAGGGCTGGGGTAGGGGCTTAGGGGGTGGGGAGAGGCTCGGGGTGCAGGCTCCGAGCGGCGCTTACCTCAAGCGGCTCCCGGAAGCAGTGGCATGTCCCTTCTCCGGCTCCTACGCAGAGGTGTGGCCAGGCAGCTCTGCACGCTGTCCCATCCACAGGCACCGCCCCTGCAACTCGCATTGGAGGGAGCCATTGAAGCGTGTATGAGCCAGAGCAGGGCCGAGCCGCATGGTCCAGCCCCCGACTCAGCGCCCCGGACGGAGCAGGACCTAGCCGCGTAGTACGGCCCCTGACCCTGCTCCCCAGCAGGAGCTTGTGTGCTGGCTTAAAACGGCTCGCAGGCCGGATTCAGCCCGTGGGCCGTAATTTGCCCACCCCTGGTTTAGTGAGTAAAATATCTTGTACATGATGCTGGAGGAATTGTTTTTAATGGACCTATTATGGTTTATAGCAAAATAGTCTTGAGCCTTGCCACATGATACTTGCATTTCTAATTTTGCAAACTATATATACCTGAATGAATGCCTATTCCTTTAAATAAGGGAATTCCCCTAAAAGAAGGGGGGAAATACTCTAGAGATTTGATCCTGCCTTTGATACATAGGTACTTATTGCCACACATTTTGTACTATTAACAATGGCAGTTATAAAGGTATATGGATGAGTGCATCACTGTTCATTTGAGGGAAATGAGTCCTTTCACTCATCTCTGAAGACTTCTTTGAAAACCTTCTTTGAAAACCTTTCATTCCACTCATATGACTGAAAAGCACTTTTATGGAGTACATGAGTCTTAAGTGACGGTTCACATAATCGTGCTATGATGAGGTACGTATCTGTTTAAGTGAATTTGTTATAGTTGTTGAATTGTCTCTGTTCTTGACTTGTTATATATTTTGTCATCTAGATTGGCTTTAAAGGGTTTCAGATTGCTACTGAGAAACAAAATGACATTGTGCCTGTTGAGTATGAAGGAAATGAGTACAGATTGTCTCATGGATCTGTTGTCATTGCTGCAGTAATCAGTTGTACAAATAACTGCAATCCATCTGTCATGCTTGCCGCAGGTATGTTGGGACTGGTGACAACTAACTTTGGTTCACTATTGCAATCTGGTGTTTACATGGTCTTCGTCAGTTTTGACCCAATTCTGCAAATGCTCAGTGCAGGGAATTCCCAGTGTCCAGACCTTTTAGCTCAAAGTTACACTGTTCATTGTACTTTTAGGCCTGAATTCCTGTTATATGTATTGAGAACTGTGTTAATGAGAAGTGGCCTTTATTGTACACAGTGCTGTGTAATTTCAAAGTTTCTGTGGCCTTATCAGACATCTATAAAAATTAGATGCCTCTGGAGGTAGTTCTGATACGTTTGTATTTGGTAATGTCAGATCATAAAGTAAACAGTCTGTTTAGGGCTCCTTTCAAAAGGCTATGGATAACGACATAACCATTGATAGTGTCGAGGTTTTGATCCCTGAATGAAAGGGTGAAGTTTAGCCTATAGTTAGATGCTAGCTGAGCTTTAACAGCAGGAATTGAAAAGTTAGTGACAGAACTTGAAATAGAACCCAGACCAGACCACCCTTCCATGCTCTAACCACTAGACCATCCATTAAAACACGGAGAAGAGATTTTCTGTTAGGTAAGGGCAAGAAAATGGGCATCTGCTTGATCTGAATAAGAAAACAAGTATAACTTCTTCTTATTGATCAAACAACTTTGTTATATTACTTGTCTAAGGAATATTACAAATATATACCCTTTTAAACAGTTTCCTTAAGAAACAGTAAATTGTGATTTTCCTTATTTTCCCCTCATCACAGTAATTTACCTACCTGACACCATCTTGGTAGTTATAAATCCAATTGCTCTTCCAATAAATATGCACAAGTCTTATTTAACTATTGTTTTGTTTAGGTCTTTTGGCCAGAAAAGCTGTCGAAGCTGGACTGATGGTTAAACCTTATATAAGAACAAGTTTATCTCCGGGTAGTGGGATGGTTACACATTACCTCAGTTCAAGTGGAGTGTTACCATACCTCAGTAAACTTGGGTAAGTTTAACTTCTTTATTCATACTGACAGAGGGAAAAGTGGTGCATGTGTAAGTGGATTTATGTATAGTCCTTAGATTTGGCCCCAGTTCCGCAAGGTGCCTAACTTTAAGCATGTGAATAGTCCCATTGACTTTGGGACTACTTGCATGCTTAAAATTAATCATACACATAAGTGTATGTTGGATCAAGGCCTTGGACCCTGCACATACAATTTACAAGGTGCAGGTGATCTCCTGTGCCTGAGCAGAACCCTATTTTCTTTAACAGAGCTCCACAGGACTGAAGGCTTGGATTGTAATTTTTTCAGGACAAGAACCATGTCCTGGCTTGCTTGTCTGAGACCCCCTACTCTACTTTTGACTGCTCAGTAGCAATAATAATCAGACTCAAATCACACTGTGTATTAGCTTTGTTTTATGCATGAGCTTTACTGTCCTTGCTTACATTTCACTAAATAATAACAATACATCAGGAGATACTCTGGAGACCTGACTTTTTGTAATTCACCAAGACAAATGAAAAGTAATGGGATTATTAGCTCTTTTCAGTGTACTCACTATAAAATGCCCAGTTAGCCAAAAAAAAAAAAGTTCCCTCAGCTTCAAATGTTTCACAAACCCTCATTTTAAATAATTGAATGTGCTACTTACTCCAATTTTTCAATGCAGGTTTGAGGTTGTTGGATATGGATGTTCAACATGTGTTGGAAACACTGCTCCTTTGCCAGAAGCCATTCGGAATGCGATAAAACAGGTACAGCTTAAAGATTATGACAGGGCATATACAATGTAGCAGATTCTTTTATACTCAAATGGTCAGGAAATAAAAGAATCTGTATAAAATAATATACTTTGTCCTTGGCTGGAATTTTGCAGTGCATTTGGAGATGCATCTTTGCATGCCAAATGGAGTATATAAAGTAACTAATTTGGTGTCTGAAATAATAAGAAAGTCGTAGTGAATACAACTTTATACTACACAAATCTCAGCTGTAAGATGAAGTTTGTGTATTCTTACAAGAGTTAGTCATATTGTGTTTGATATATACATACGCTAACCTGAGTTTCTGCTATTTTCTTGTCATTGGCAAAACAAGGTTAATGGGGTGTGATACAGAAATGAGCCACTTTATTGTATATCTAGTAACTCTGAGAAGCACAAATGTGTTTTGGAATATTAAAAAAAAGTCATGAGCAACTTTTAGACAGCTAAATGGTAAGCTGCCTTTAGCCATGTCAGTGCTATAAGCTGCTGAGTCCTTAAGGCTGCCATTAGCAATGAGGGAGTAATAGAGACATCAGCCTGAGAAAAAGTGATGACAAGAAGTGGGAGAAAAAAGGAGGGGAGAACTAGTCCGACTGACTTGAGAGGACGAAGAGTGAGTTCTGTGACTGGGGAGACAGAGTGGGAATAATAGTGGTAGAGAGCAAATGACCTTTCCTTTTAGGGGCTTCCATAAGTACTTAGGGTGCCTTTAACTTTTTTTTTAAGACAACAGAAATCTAAGCAAATTGTCATTAATGCACCTATAAGTTTGTGGGGAGTGCTGAGAAATGTATTTGTTTCTACCTTTCAGGGTGATTTAGTTGCTTGTGGAGTTTTGTCTGGAAACAAAAACTTTGAAGGCCGTCTCTGCGATTGTGTCCGTGCCAACTACCTTGCTTCTCCACCTTTAGTAGTTGCTTATGCTATAGCAGGCACTGTTAATATAGATTTCCAGACTGAGCCTTTAGGTAACTATTTCTTTATATCTAATATTTCAGAATAGTACCAGGTTTTCTTTGGGTGTTTTGGCTTAAAATGTCTGCCTTTTAAATGGTAGCAACTTTTGCATTTTCTGTTTTGAAACAGGACTATCAGCCTTAGACCACTTCATCTCTTCTTTTATTTATACTCAGATATTTTGTCTCATGATAAAAGGGGGAAATTAGATATTTCCCCAGTTTTTCACAACGTTTGTTTCATTTAACTGGCATTTGAGCATGCAGAGAGCATTACATTATTATACTACTAGAAAAAGAATCACCATGCTTTTCATTCCTAGCAGCTAAGAAATAAAAAATTACTTAGCTGAAACTTTTTTTTTTAATCAGCTGTTGCATCTTTGAATAAAGTCTCAACAGATATGGGTTTTTTTGTTTGTTTGTTTTTGCTTACAAAAAAATCTTTTACATAGGCATTGATCCTAATGGCAAAAATATCTACCTGCATGATGTTTGGCCCACTCGAGAAGAACTTCAGCAAGTTGAGGAGGAGTATGTGATATCATCCATGTTTAAAGAACTGAAAGAAAAAATGGAGGTAAGATAGGTCTGTCATTTTAAATAGTTTAGAAAACAGTGCTTTTCTGTATAGCTTTACTGTATCTTCTGGTTGAAACAGCAGCCGGTATAGAGGGTTCTGATACCATAACTAAGATTAAGTGACTAAGATATGCCCACCTGTATTCTATTATACTGGGGTTCTTAAACAGTGTACCGTATATACTTGTTCATAAGCCGAATTTTTTTTAGTAAAAAAGGAAAGCACCAGAGAAGGGGGTCAGTTTATGAACGGGTATAGAGAGGGAGAGGTGGGACACAGCCCCTCCCCCCAACAGAGGGAGCAAGGAGAGGCAGCACAGCCAGCAGAGCCAGAAGGGAGGAGGCGGGTCCAGAGTCTCTCTGCTTCTGGCCACGCTGCTCTCCCCCCAGCCTCCGAAGCAGCCCGTCCCAGCCCACTGGAACATGCTGCAGCCACAACACCCAGTCTGGCCCGCCGGAGCAGCTCCAGCCAGGCCAGAGACATCCTCCCCAGATAAGGTGGGAAGGGATGGGATGGGGAGAGTGTTGGGGTCCTGGGCTAGGGGTGGGGGTCATATGGGGGGTGGTCACGGGTTACTTTCCTGACCCCCAGCTTCTCCCCCCCCCCAAAAAAAAATTTCCCCACCAGTTGCTGTCCTGGCCCGTCAGGGTAAGCAGCTGGCGCACCGGGACACTTTGTTTACTTAGGTTTACCTCTGTGCCTGCGGATGCTCGAGGTAAACAAACCATTTCGGCCCACCAGCAACTTATCCTGATGGTCCGGGAGCCAAAGTTTGCTGACCCCTGACTTATAGGGTCGGCTTATGAACAGGTCATAAAAATTTTCCATTTTTACTTATCCCTGTTGATGGGGGGGGGGGTCGGCTTATAAACGAACCGGCTTATGATCGCGTATATACGTTACATTACGATGGTATCTCCCACAATATAGTACAACCTCAGAAAAAAAACGGTTATCAAAGTTTTTGCTTTAAGACTGTATAAGATAATTGTAAATCAGTTTCCCTGATAGTCTAATTGGCTAATATACTTTCCTTTTGTAGAAAGGCAATAAGCGATGGAATTTTCTGGAAGCACCAGAATCAGTTTTGTTTCCGTGGGATTTGAAGTCCACATATATCCGATGTCCTTCTTTTTTTGATAAGCTTGTAAGTACAGTGGTTCCATCTAAAATAATAATTTGGGAAGTGTTGAATCCTAAACCAAGGGGAAAGTTGTGTTTTAATAAGCTTTGCTTGTATCTGATCAAGTTGTGTAGCATTAACCATATCTAACTGTCTCTAGCTGGTGTTCACTCCATTGGAATGAATGGAGCTTGTGGATGGATGCTCCATTTTTGTCATGAACAAACCAGTTTAAATATGATTTGTGCTAGGAATCCTGGGGGAAATGTATGTATTTTCTTTTTCTTTTTTTCCCCCCCAATAGGCCAAAGAGCCAGTTTCACTACAACCAATTGAAAATGCCCATGTCTTGCTATATTTGGGAGATTCTGTAACTACAGATCACATATCACCTGCTGGAAGCATTGCAAGGAATAGCGCTGCTGCTAAGTATCTGACAAACAAAGGGTATGGATCGTAACGTATATTTAAGCCCCTTCATTTTCAGTTTAAACCAATTTTTTTACTCAAAATCTCCTGGGTTTTACAAAAAGTATTATTCAGTTTTTTCTGATGTTCATCCTACTTTTGTATCTTCAAATATATTTAAAAAACCTTGTTTTATTAGGAAAATACAATACATTGCATGAGATATATGTATTACGGTAATACATTAGTTTGTATATATATGCAAAGCTGTCTGTTGAAGTAAGGCTATGTATTAGTCTAGAAAATATACACAATAAAACAGGCACACACACAAGCTCTGAAGTATGTGCGCATCTGAATGTACTGATGAATCTCACACCCACCACGTACACATTTCAAGCTGTTAGCAGATAACGGTTTAAAGATTTGACACACTAAAATGGAAAGAAAATAAAGATCTATCAGAATATGTTTCAGAACACAAGGAAGTATTCAAAAGGAGAAAAGGATGAAGTCAAGTGCGTGCACTGCAAATGGTGTGGCCCAATTATTAAATGTAAATATTTATAGGTAATAGTTCTAACCCTACAACAGTAAACTGTTTATTCAAATGAAAAGTTTTATTTGGGGATAAGAGATGTATTATTTTCTTAAACTCAGAGGTGACGTGTTTTGAGTTCTGTTTTAGTCCTGCAGCAAACCACATTGATGAATGGAATTCAAAGCATTATTCTACTGAATACTTTCCCCCCCGTCTTTCTGTCCAGCAAAATAAACCCCTATATTTACCCAGAAAAATTAATAATATTTTTGCACTGATTTTTCACCTGCTTTTGTTGTTGTGGTAATAAACAAATTCCCAGGAAAAATTAAATAAAAATAAAATAAAAACTGAAAACGAAGGGCCTTACGTATATTTTATCAAGCAAATGAATCTGCTTTATTTTTTGTCTCAGTGGGGAACTTAATTTACCATATAAACAATTGATCATCAAAAATTGCTTTGTTCTGTAAATGCCATTATGCATTAGAGAAATTAATTGTGTATGTCCTGGTTAAAGTGTAAACTGTCATTCCTGTGATTGTAGGCCATCCCCAGAAATGTATTTGAAATTTCTTTTGCCTTCTGAACAGCTGAAATCTATTTTAAAATATCACATCGATGAGATAGACCATTGTAAAAGGATAATGGTCTGCTGCCAAATCCATCTCAAAACATAGATGAATTGTTAATTTACAAAGCAGATAGCACTAGTCTTGTGCTAATGTTCTAGTCTCTGTCCATTGATTTTACATAAGAAATGATAATGTTGCTTTCACTTCACTTGATGGGTATTGATATAGTATAGGGATAATTGCTTACTCCACTGCTGTTGCAAAATTATTGTCCTGGGCCAAGAGAGCAGACTGGCAAATAGACGCACGGAACACATAAGAGACCAGCTTGTTCGTAACATGCCTCGTTTAAAGACTGAATTGCCCCTGTAAGAATGTGAATTTGGCTGAAGGTTTGATGTTGATTCATCTCTCAAATAAATGAACAGTTCTGGACCCAATACAGTGAGATGTTGAACACCCTTAACTCCCAGTGAAGTCTGAGGGTACCCAGCTTTTCACAGGAGGTGCAGAGCTCCTCACAGAATCAGACCTTCCATTTGGTATACACGAACTAATTGTACTGTACTGCACCAACAAACCCCAGAGGGTCCTGTGGCACCTTTGAGACTAACAGAAGTATTGGGAGCATAAGCTTTTGTGGGTAAGAACCTCACTTCTTCAGATGCAAGACTTCATCTGAAAAAGTGAGGTTCTT